TTAGCTATATGATCCGATTGTCCACATATAAAACATCCTCTATAAATTCCTTCTTGAAAGAAGACGTCTTCTCGTAGTACTTTAAAATGAGGTTCATGTGTAGCCAATGAAAGCATAATAAGATCGGCATCCTATAAATCAAAAGAATCGTTAGCAAAACATTTATTAATGCATGTATTAATGCATGTATTAAGTAAGTCCGGAATCTTTTTTTAAAAAAAACGTAAGAACCGACCAAGCCATATATTACGTGACAAGTGTTAGGATCGTGATATGGACTACCTCGTTGTGCACGAATAAAATCCATAATTTTGTGTTCACCTTCGCCTGGTACACTCGCATCAGATAAGATGACTTTTAACTGTAAAAGAGTAATCGAAAAGTAAATCAACAAAAATCGATAACATAAATATCAATCCTTTTTTTTTTAAAACAAAAAAAGCAACATGCATTTTTCCATCCTGGCTCTGTATTAAGTTTATCTGCGATCCAATATCGTAAACATTCTGCAAGACGTGCCATAAAGGGCGTACCTATTATTAATATAGATCAAATTGCAATTAATGATCCGATATAACATCCTTCCAAATAAATTTAATGGCATATATACCTGGTGTTATACAGTTACTATCAAATGACTTTTTTTGTTTGAGCGTTGTATCTATCGATTGTCCTGACGCTAATAAAGGAAAATAAGCATGATCGAAGACTATTTAAAAATTATTAAGTTAACGAGTTACATACCTTCAAGCCTTTCTATCTCTTGAGTTGCTTCTTCCGCCTTTTCTTTATCTTCTTGTGCAGTTCTAAATCTACGAGATCTTTGTTGATTCATTTTAGCACGAGGTGCCACTCCATCTAAAAGCAAAGACATTATGGTTTAATTTATTAGACAATTAGATTATAAAAAAACTACTTATGATTTACCAATAGCGAGATATAAAACCCTTCGAGGGCGAATCATAGCAACTATACGCTCAGTATATTTAAATATTTCAATCATCATATCTTCTTCAGTTTCTGGAGCAGGCTTATAAATAGTTAACATAAAATTTAATAAACGAGCTAATGATGAAATTTTGATACATTGTAAAAAAAACTTTAATTTACCTTGTTATCCGGATGACAACAAGGATGAATAATGCCATTCATATCTAAATATAAATTATCGAACTCCATCTTATTAGGATTTGGTTTAGAAATATCAACTGGAATTTCTACTCCATTAACTTCAATTGGTCGTTCTTCGATGACCTGTTCAATGATTTTAGGATATTTTTTGGATAACCACCTGAAATTTATATAGAAATTGTTATAGCAAAACTGTCTTGATCTAATAAAATAAAATTTTTTCATACCTAAAAAGAGCTGGAACTCCCATATTGAAAAGTAATGCTTTGTAGGAAAATACGAGCTGGGAAATTTAAAAAATTTATAAGCAACCGATCAGATCGAATCGATCGGCATTTTAGATCAGTTACAAAATGTTTACCATTTTAGCAAAAATTTCAAGCTTTTTAGAAGTAAAATAAGAAGAATATTAAACTTTTTTTTAAAAAAAGTGTATGTTTGCAAAGAAATTTTATAAAATATTATTTTTAGTAATTTTTAAGAAGCTTATTATAATTAAATATTATTTAGTTATAATCAGTTTAGATAGATTAGATTAGGTTATTTGGAATATTATAGTCTAAAATTAGTATACCATCCTAAGATATTATAATCTGATATTAGTAAATAATCTAATTTCATAACCTAGGTATGCTAGTTTTTTCTACCTTTTTATTTAAACTTGTTATTCTTCTTACTTCTAAAATAGATTTTCTTTACTTTCTTTTTATTTATTATATTATTATATTATGATTATTTTTATTATAGATTAAATACTTATAAATACCTTTTGGTTAAATTTGTGTTAATATAAATTTGTAGTTGTTAAAATATTTAACAGATGCTTAGTCATTTATAATTATTTGATTTTTAAGTAATTAAATGTACACTACCTAAATAAAAGTGAACAGATTTTTTTTATTAATTGTTCAAAAATATATATAATAACTGTACTTAAAATTTAAACTATTATTAGTTTAACTATATATAAAACCAGTGCTTAAAATAGAATTTGAGTTTTATCAGTTAAGAATCTAGAATAAAAATATTTTATTGGCTAAAGATCCAGAATACCAGATTTTTTCAGAATATTATAAAATTTACCGGTTAAATAAATATTTTAAGTAAAAGTAAAACAAAATATTTATATATTCTTTATTAAAAAAATTTAAAATTTTCTTTTACATATTCTATTTCAAATTTGTAATGCTTTAGTAAAATCAAATTCAGATAAATCTTTTTCTTCTAAACAAATCATCATCTAAAAATGTGATGTTTCATTATTTAAAGAATTTTACAAATCAGTTTTTATCAAATTTTACTTTAAAAATTCACATTCACAATCAACTGATAAAAATGGAATAAAATATATAATTCCTAATAATTTGATAATATTTGAAAAAGTATTATAATAAAATTCAAATAAGGCGATACAAAGTAAATTTTTCAGTTTTCATATCAAAATTTGGTTTCACATAACCCGGCCGCCCGGCTTTTTATTTTTAAAAGCAAAAAATTTTTTTAATTAAAAAATTTATTGGATATTTTTATTATTTCACAACCTGGTTACCCGGCTAAAATTTTTATATGTAAAAAATTTTATATTGCACATTAATATAATAAACTTTTTTATCAAAAACAAAAATTAACTAATTAATATTATCAGAATGGTTAAACGATCAATAGGCTGATATTCATTCCTTTTTTGATTGCACTTTCAAACAACTTTTTTTTCTAACTGCATTTTCAAGTAACCTTACTTTTTGAGAGAAATCAAAATGTATTAAAAATCTAATTACATATGCAAATCTATATAAGTTCTATAAAATTAAGATAAACTTCCCTTTTCTACTATATTTCCAAATGAATTTCCTTTCTTGAGTATAATTCTGAGTAACCTTTCTCTTTTAGGCGAAATTAAAATGTATAAATTCGTGTTCGCATATATAAGCTAACAAAAAAAGAGTAAAAACATGTTATAAAAATCCTTTGAATTCTTTAACAAGTCTTTT